CAGATACTCATAGACGACAGACTGCACGGCCCGGAATGAGCGCGCCTTGCTGAGACATGCAGGGCAGGGGTCCTGGGCTGCCAGACTGTCCCAGGTGTCCATGAGTTGCAGCACAAGGCCTGGTCGCCCAAAGCTGTCCTCCTCCCAACGGACCCAGTTTCCCCCTGGGGACCGAGGGCCGGCTCATGGAGATGGGAGAGGCCTGGGGGACCAGTAACACCTGGGCAGCAGGCCGAGGCCAGCAGAGTGGACCCAGCTGTGCACAGGAGCTGGGTCAGACTCCGCAGGCCCTCCCTACCCTGTCCAGGCCAGAGGACCTCACCGACCCTCCCCACTCTCATTCCGCACAGGACGCCCACCCCCAGCTCTGCAGGCTCCAGTGCCCCGGGACACTCCCTGACCTTGGCCCTCCAAAGCAGCCTGAGTGCATCAGGCTGGCCCTGGTGGGCGGGATGGGGTCCCTTGCCCATCACCTGACCATGAGGCTGCCAGTTGGCCATGCCCAGCAATGACTTCCACGGGCACCTCAGGCGCAGGCGGCACAGTCAGCACTGGGCTCGCCCCACAGCCAACCCCTCCTGCCCCCAGGAGGCCAGTGCCACACTGGGCTCGGATCCCAGCACAGCCCTCAGCAGACCCTCGGGGTCCTGGAGCTGTCTCCCCCCGTCCCCCACACCCTCACCAGCTCCTCCTCCTCCTGCTCTCCTCCCGCAGCTGCTGGATGGCCTGGGAGCCCAGCCTGGGCGCGTTCTACGGGCCGGCGGCCTTCATCGCCCTGGTCACCTGCGTGTACTTCCTGGGCACCTACGTCCAGCTGCGGCGTCACCCGGAGCGCCGGTACGAGCTCAGGGAGCGGACGGACGAGCAGCATCGGCTGACGGGGCTGGAGGCCGGCCACAGCCCCAGGGCCCCCCCAGGCGTGGCGCCCACCTGTGCCTCCCTGGCCGCCTCGCTGCTGCAGAACGAGCACTCGCTCAAGGCCCAGCTGCGGGCCACGGCCTTCACGCTCTTCCTGTTCACGGCCACGTGGACCTTCGGGGCCCTGGCCGTGTCACAGGACCACTTCCTGGACATGGTCTTCAGCTGCCTGTACGGCGCCTTCTGCGTGACGCTGGGGCTCTTCGTGCTCATCCACCACTGCGCCAAGCGGGACGACGTGTGGCACTGCTGGTGGTCGTGCTGCCCTTCCCGCCGGGACACCCAGGCCTCGAAGCTCAGTGCCCACCACACGCTCGACGCCAATGGGGACGCACTGGGGCACGCCACCTGCCTGCAGGACTCGCCTTGTGTTGGCAAGCCACGGGGTTTTGGGCACCCGCCGGCCGGCCACTGCAAGATGACCAACCTGCAGGCCTCCCAGAGCCACGTCAGCTGCCTGTCGCCGGCCACGCCCTGCTGCGCCAAGATGCACTGTGAGCAGCTGATGGAGGACATGGCCCACGTCCACCTGCACGAGGAGGACGCGTTTGGGCACGACCTGCACCTGCACCGGTGCCTCCAGGGCAGAACTAAGCCTCGCTACTTCAGCCGGCACAGGGCGGCCGCGGCCGAGCAGGAGTACGCCTACCACATCCCGTCCAGCCTGGACGGCAGCCCCCACAGCTCACGCACAGACAGCCCTGCCAGCTCGCTCGAGGGCCCGGCGGGGATGCACACGCTGGCCTGCTGTGCCCAGGGCGACCCCTTCCCCTTGGTCAGCCAGCCCGAGAGTGGCAACATCAGTCCCACACTCTACGGCTGCACCCCGCGGCCCGGCAGGGAGGTTGGCCGAGGCCCCGCCCACTTTGAGATGCTCCAGAGGACACAGTCCCTGCCCTTTGGGGGCCCTGGCCAGAACGGGTTGCTCAAGGGCGACGTGTGCGAAGCCGTGCCTTACGGTGCCGACAGCACAGGCAACATCCGAACGGGGCCCTGGAAGAATGAGACGACTGTGTAGCCGCCGTGCCACCCACCCCAGGCGAGCGTCAGAGCAGAGAGGGACCCTCTCCCACGTGAGGTCGGCAGGGTCACCGAGTGACAGGGCCGCTCAGAAGCGACTGGCACCCCCGGTGACCTCTGGTTATGAAGGACTCAAGTGGGAAGACGCTTTGGGCCACGTTGCCTCCCCGAACCCCGAGGTCAGACAAGTTGTCGTGCCCACAGTCACCCCTTGTGGACCTGAAGCGCCCGTCCCCGGGCAGCCCAGCCACGCAGCGGGCAGAGGAACCGGCCTCCGCCTGGGGGCCTGCCCGCCTGTGATGGCCGCGGCAGGAGGCACACTGATCTTTCTCGTGTTCAATGTGTGTGTTAAGTCTTGTTCCAGGGGCGGGCAGCCTGCTGGCCAGCCCAGTGCGCTCTGAACCTGGGCCCCACGTCGGAGCCGACGCCCGTGCCATCTCCACCTCAGCCCCCACCCTGAATGCAGCCCCAGCCCCGCAGGCTGAGGGCCTCACAGACGCGGGGCACCCAGCTGTGCTCTGGGAGCACGTGGCCTTCAGGGGGGTGGAGGGGGCCCCACGGCTCTGTAAAAGCCCAACTGCCCTTTAACAAATATTCCATTTCCTAAGCCAGCCGCTGTCAGGACTAGATCCCCGCCCCAGCGTGGGAATTTGGGAAAAATAAAGTTCCCTGCCCCGCAAAGAGAAGGAGCTGGCATTTCCATGAACCTCTGGGCACAAAGCCCTGACTCAGAGGACAGAAGTGCCCCATCCCATGGCTGGGGTCAATGGGTCCTCACAGGGGCAGAAGCCTGGACGCCCAGAAGGATGTGACATTCGTGTGAGACCGTGCACAACCACCCCTCCCTCCCTGTGACATGTGTACACACACACACACACACACACACATGTACATGCCATGTGTGTGCATCACATGTTCACCCACCCATGCACAGTGCACTATACCTGTGCGCACATCACCACCAACATGCACATGGCACATCGTGCACAGGCAGGGTAGTCAGGGGGTCAGTGCTCTGCTCGGCTGTCATGGTGCGACTCGCCCGTGTGCTCTGCGGTCTGGGCGGGAGGATGTCCCCCGGAGCAGCTCCTTCCTTCGCACCCACTGGGAGAGACGAGGGGTGTGTCAGGCGCCCCAGGCCCCACGCTCAGTATCTGAGCACGAGGAGCCTCACTTCCCGGGATTCCCGACAGAGAGGCTGTAGCTTACCAGTGTCCGTACCTGCCACCAACCCCGTGCGTCTCACAGGCCCGCCAGACAGGCGGCTCCTGTCTCCATCACTGTCTGCCTGTTCACCTGCTTCTGTTGCTGACATGAACCGAGACCCGACGCTGTGCTGTGTACACACTGTAGATGCAGAACCGTCAGGCAAAATACAGTGTTTCACATTGTTCGCCCTTCGTGAGGCTGGTTACTGGCATCCATGTGCGTCTCTGACCCTCGAGGAGGGCGGCCCACCGCCCTGCAAGGCCCTGTCTGTGCCCTGGTGCTTGGGGCAGGGCCGTTCTTCCCTGGCCCGCCCCCGTGGGTACCCAGCCTCCCTCCCACCTCAGCAGCCCTGGCAGAACAGAGAGCGCACCTCATCATCCAAACCAACGACGCTCGGCACTAAATAAACCTCGAGGGCTTCAGTATCGACATGGCCTCCTGAGCCCAGTGGGGAGCCGTGTTGTGACATGGCCCACTGGCACGTGATGGGCACCGCACGGCTGCAGTCAGGCGCTCCGTGTGGAGTGAGCTCCCACAAGGGTTGGGAGCGGGATAGAAGCCCAGGCTGCCTGTGCCTTACGTTTTGTGTCCCTTCCTTGCTCTCTGCACATGTGTCTGCCTGTATGCACATGACTGGGTGGTGAGGGGCAAGAGTTATGTGTGAGTGTGAGCGTGCAGTGTATAAAGACGAATGTGCATGTGTGAATGTGCTTACATGTGTGCTGTATGTTTGTACATTGGATAGCTGTGCACATGTGTGAGTTCATGTAGGTGTGTGTGCATTAGTGAGTGGGTGTGGTGCCTGAGTTGTATTGCGTGTATGCAGTAAGAGTGCATGTGTGTGCATGCTACATGAGAGTGTGCATGCGTGTATATGAGTGTGTGTGCTTGTGTACATGAGATGAGTGTGCATGCGTGTGTGTGCTCTTCAGAGGGTTAAAAAGTCAAAGCGGAGTGCTCTGGCCATTCGGGGGCACAGGGAGCAGGAAGGGGCATAAGAGGCGCATCCCTCAGCCATGACCCAGGCTGCTGCGTCCACCTCAGCAAGAGTCAGGATGCCCAACAACAACGGGTGGTGACAGGAGGAGTCCTCCACCCCAAGCTTCACTGTGCCGGCTCCTGTGGGCCAGGAGGGAGGGGTGCTGGATGGGACTGTGGACATGCAGACACATGTGACAGAAATAAACCACCTGAGGGACAGTCCTCCAAGGGCGCCAGGCAGCAGCCCCCCAGGCTGTGGATCCAAAGGCGTTGCCTGATGTCACAGAGGTCTCCACAGCAGTTCGAGGACCAGAAACCCCTGCGCACGGACAGGGAAGGTGCAGCAAAGGGGGCCTGTCCAGAGCCCCTCTGGGTAACGGCACCCACAGTCCTCCACCTTCCCTGCTGCCTCACACCCACCAGCTGGCAGGTGTCAGCCTTGTGGTGTCCTGCCCACGGCTTCCCTCCCCCGGGGTGTCCCAGGGAACCGCCGGCCGCTGCCATGTCCCCACCGTCCCCAGGGTGGAACGCATCCAGGGAAACATCGTACATTTATTCCATCTCAAACTGCATAAATGTCGACACTGTCTCTGCACCAGCAGCAGATGACTCCACTCACAGCTCCAGCCACACCCACGTGGTGACTTTGGGGGCCAGCCCTGGCTACCAGAGGGTCCCCACTTCCTGTGGTCGGGGGTTCAGGCATCAACTGGACTGGGGACCCATGTCCACGGTGACCTCACCCCTCGCCCCTGCAGGAGCCCCCGAGTCCTGCAGAAGCACCGTGGGTCCCAGGGAAGGCCACGCGAGCCGGCCGGAGCGCTGGCTCCCGGGCAGCAGCAGGTCAGAGGGCTCCTGTCCTGTGTTCCCATCTCTAACGGACTGTACCCAAAGACCTAGGTCATGTAAAATGAGTCAAATGGTCATTAGAAACAAAAAAAAATAGTTTTAAAGTTATTTATTAAATATTCAATTTATTAAAACTTCCATGTGTATTTGTTTCCAAAAAGTGTGATGGGGACCCTGGCCGGGTGGCTCAGTTGGCTGCAGCATCGTCCCATATACCAAAAGGTTGCGGGTTCAATTCCTAGTCAGGGTGCATACCTAGGTAGTGGATTCAAGCCTCAGTCAGGGCACATATGGAGGCAAAGGATAATGTTCTCTCACATCCATCTTTCTTTGTCTCTCTGTCTCTCTCTCTCTTTCTCTCTCCCGCTCTCCCCCTCTCTCTTTCTCTCTCCCCCATCCTCTCTCTCTAAAGTCAATTTTTTTTAAAAACCAATATTCTCAAGTAAGGATTTTTTTAAAGAATGATGGGGGATCTATAGAAACTTTCAAGCATAAAAATATGTCACAATAGAATAAAATTCTGGGCAAAATTGGATGATTATCATGAGTTTAATGAAAACTGTCATGATGAGGATTTCTGACTAGTAAAGAAAAATGTGTTTCTATGTTTTCTGTAAATGGTTGATGGTGGGTACCAGAGCCACTTTGGTATTTAGCTTCTTGGATACATTTAGGAGAGTGACTAACAGCTTTATTTCAAACGGTCAATATTTACACCACACCAGCTATGACATTCGTTGCAATTATTGACATTTTTTTTAATTTGGATGTTGACTTCACACTGTGCACAGGTTTTGACAGCTCTTCAAATTGTTTTAGGGAAAATGAGAGCCGAGGCATTGAAGACCCCGCTCCACTGGCCTCACATCACCGGGCCAAGCTGAGCACCAAGTGCATACCCCGAGACAGGAGGGAGCCCCTATCTGCGGAGAGACGGGGCTCGACAGAGAACAAGACCAAGTCCTGACAGTGTCCGGGTGTGGGAAGGGCAGAGACCAGCATGGAGCAGCCTTCGCAGGAGACCCCATCTGTGGGGGGGCTCCTGTCCTGGACACCGACCAGAAGGGAGGTCAGTGGGAAAGCGGGGCAGGCCAGGCACTGCAGCGGAGGCAGAAGTGGCCACGCGGAGGGAGGGTCCTGAAAGAAAGAGGGGGTGGGGCAGAGAGCAAGCAGCGAAGACCAGTAAGAAGACTGGGCACCACCTGGCATGGCCTGGAAGCCCTGCAGGATTCAGACAGCACCTGAGGGAAGCGTCAGGAGGCAGGTGTGCTGCTGGGCGTGTACTGGACGCCCAGGCACGGTGCAGAGGTGGGTGCAGAGGCCAGGAGGTCGTTCCAGTGTCTGCTCATGAGGCTGTGGGGCCCTGTTTGGAACTGAGCTTGCAATGAACTTTCAGTGGACATCAGGGCTGCCTTGTGGTGTCCCATCGGCTCTGGGAAGATTTGAGTGCCTCATCTACATGGCTCTGACCTCAAGGATCAGGCCCTCGTTCAACATTATCAACCATCTACTACGTTCGAGGCACCAGGAACCAGGGCCCCTCCCCTGGAGAAAGCTTGCTATACAAGCAGGCAGGTGTGCAAACACTCAGAAAGATGAACTAACTTCCAGAAGTTTCACATCACTCCACAAACAGGAAGACCGTGGCCACAAACTCTGAAATGAAAGCAGGCGGGTAGGTAGAAGGAGCTGCAGTGCGCCCTGCCCCAGACCCCTCCCCGCGACCCATGTGCCCTGGTCCCTGGCCACCGAGCAGCAGTCCCCTAAGTATTCTCAGGCCGCTATGGCCAGAGCTGACTCAGCTGATGTCAGCTGCCCATTTGTTCCGTATTTTACCCAAAGTGGATGCATCTTTTCCCAGGAGCTTATGTGATGTCACTGCTCCCTTAGCTATGGGTGACCTTTGCCCTGTCCCATTCAGCCCTCACCCTACGCCCTGGGCCAGCTGCATGGTGGGTCGAGAAGCAGGTGACAAAGCCCATGCCCTCCTCCGGGAGGGCCCTGCAGCACACCCTTTGTGCCCGAGGC